TTGGTTTTTAACTCCACTGAATCCTATACCAACCGGCTTAACGCCTGGAAGGGAGATACACAGGAGGATATTTCCTTGGATGACTGGGGTGTGATATGTGCAGAGGCACATAGACAAACTGTGAATATGAGTCGTAAATAATAATAATAATAATAGATTTTATTTGTTAGCGCTTTTACAGGTGCTCAAAGATGCTTTACAGATATAGTGAAGAGAAAAGAAAAGAATAATAAAATAATAAATAATAAAATAATTCACAAAATGCTAGATGTTAAGATACCTCTTGATCCTAAATTGTTTATTTTGGAGATTTTCCACCCCAGTCATAACAAAGAATAAAAAGAATCTCATAAACATGTGTTTACTCAAAGCAAAACGCTTGATTGCCTTGTCATGGAAAAACACTCAGAGGCCACAGGTGGGCTGAGGGAAATTAGTAATTGCTGTTCAGTAGAAAAGATAACGTATATTCTGAAAAGGAAAAATCAAACCTTTGATAGGGTTTGGGGCCCGTTTACTCAACTGTTAGGTGATGTTAATGTATCAATAACATTGGGAATCCATGAGAGCGATCTGGTTGAAAGGAAAAGTAAAGTACTTCTTAAACAGCTGTGACTATGTACACTTTTTAGGATAATGTTGCCACTGCCCAATTGTTTATTTTTATTTTTATTTCATGTCTTTTATTTGTATTATATATTTCATTTTTTTTGTTGTTAAATGATGTATTTTCTTGTCTTTGCCTCTGTTTTTAACTTTTTTGTGTGCAAGTTTGTGTAAGGTATGGCGTGTCTTGTTGTTTAAAAGAATGAAAAATGTATAACCATATTGTTTCAAAAAAACAAAAGCAGACATGATGCAGGGGTGAAGACTTTTCAAAACAAAACAGGAAACTGGTGTGACAGATCGCGACATATTTGTCCATATTATACCAATGTCCTTAGAAAAATTGATATTGTCTGAGATTTAGGATTCCTAATAATAGGAGTGTTGTCTTAATGTTTTAAAGGCTGTAAAGCAGCAAACCAATATCATTTTCTGAATTTACCAGACTGTTATAGCAATTATATTATTTGCCTTCATCTAGTAGTCAATGAAACCCCTTAAGAAATAATTATTTATCAAAGTTCTCATTGTGTAGCTATGTTTTAAAAGCATCAAATGTCAACTGTGCAATGGCCTCACAACATTGATATCATGGGATTTGGTCAAAAATATCACATTTGATTTTCTTCATATGGCCCAGCTTTAAGTTTTAGTAACAGGTCCATGAGCCCACCGTAAAATGTTTAATGACCCCCACCTTCAACAGCTAGAGGCATGTTTGAATGACACGTTGTGCACAGATGTTTGTTTCAAGCACAGCCTTGACACCCCGGCACTTTTGTTAGGAGTGTTAAAAACAGCTAATATCAAGGCATGATTAAAATCTCTCGAAAGGTATTTATTGTTACTTAATTACTGTTACATAATGACTAATGCATGTGATTTTTCGGGTAAACAGATGTAGCATGATGTACCTTCCCCCGCTGACCAGGTGAGAGTCCGTCAGAACAAAGCGACACACATCACCCTTGTGACCCGAGAAGATTTCAGACGGGTGACGCTGGAGCCTCCCAGACTCTCGGCACAGATGGAATGCTCCAATATCAGCAGCCTGAGACAGATACAGCATGTCCCCATCCAGCTGCAACCATGGCAACAGCCTAAAGACAAGATATGTGCTTTAAGAGGGATGCATGTCAAAAGGTTCTGAAGCCGAGAGGAGGGTATGAGCCTGTGCGCTTTTCTTGGTTGTATATAGAACTTTCAATGCAAGCCACAGGCGGACAGGAAAACCACTTTTAATAAATGTAAATAAAGAATGCTTTGTGTGTGAAGAGTTTTAATCAGCAGATATCAAATGTGTCTCTGGCTCTGTGAATGGTTGATGCATTTTGTGACTATTTCTCTCTAGCTGAGTAAATAAGTAATAGTAATTATAAAAAATTAAAGAGACTTGACAGTTGACACAAAACCGTATTTTTCTCCACAACCGCCTGGAGACCCCATCTGCCTCCGGACCAAACTTGGGTTTATTTTTTACCCGGGGTCTTTTTTTTTTTATATGGAGATTTTTTTAAAGTCAAGCATTACAGCCTTTATACCGTTTATAGAAAAAATTCTCAAATACTTACTTTGTTTTCCATTTGAGAGGAATTGTTCTTTTGCAGAGCCCGTCCAACCAGTTGTGAGCAACCTTCACTCTCTCCTTCAGCTGGAGGTCAGGATATCTGCAGGGACAGGGACTGTGTGTTAGTGACATACTGAACACTGCCTTTACATTAGGATTCATTCAAGTATATTTTTAATTACATGTAAAAATATCTACATATTTATGTCATGTTTTCAGTCAGTTCTGAGGCCTGTACTACGAAGACGGATTTTCGCTTAGCGATCTAACTTCAGGGAAAAACTCTGGGTTTCCAGTCCTACGACGCTGGTTCTCTTCTTACCGGGCTAGATCTCCATGGTAACTTATGCTGAACGGCAAGCCTGGTCCGGAGCAGGTTAGGTTCCAGGATAAGAGATCAACTCAGTGAAAGCACTGACTGCTGACCAATCAGAGCTCAGTGTGCAGAGTTTAAAGCGATCAAGTCATATTACAGGAGAAAGGAAATACAGAAAAACTGCCGTTGCAGGAAAGACGGCCGGCAAAAATCAACTGACTGTGTGAACGCGAACATTAATAGAATATCAGCTCCCATCTTCAGAGCAATCTGACTATTATAACATTAGCGTTAAGAAAGCTTACTTAAATATCTGCCACAACATAAGCAACCGGATCAAAGTAACATTACGTACAGTCCGCGGCACTGTGAGTGCAGACGTCGATGTGTCCCATTATCATTCATATCACATCATAATGTATCATATTTCCTTATGTGAGTCAGCTTCTTGAGCCGTATCTGGCCGTGCAACACTCACAGTGTCACATACTGTATGCAGAAGTATTATTTTAAGCAACACATTAAGTTGACGAAACACTCGAGACAAATGTAATTAAAGTCAGATCGTGTGTTAGACGGGGCAGTGATATCATAAACCTGTTAGTACGCATTCAAACACTTTTTGTGTTACCAGCTGTATTCACCTTGCAGGTGCAGCTATGTGGTTTTTATCCTGGATAAAGTGTTTAAGTCATGGATGTTTAAAGTTTAACTTCTTTATATTTGACTAATATTAAAGTTCACTTTTCATTCAGGAAGTATGACGCTGCGCTGTCAGTGCGCTTCTCCATGTTTTTGATTGGTCAAATGTTGCTAACCCCGCCACTTTTATGTGAACTCGCACCTAACTAGATAGGGCAAAACTGGCTTGAGTTACCAAGTTGATAACCAGCGTCGTAGGACCGCTTAGCGAGAGCGCGTTTGTTTTGGATTAGGTAAGCAGGGTAACTCAAACATATCCAGGTTATGTTGAGACGGCTTCGTAGTACAGGCCTCTGGACTGAGGTGGAGATATATCCATCCGTGAGATTTCTACCTTAAAATGCAATGGAGGTGAAATTCATTTGTACTGCTCACAGTAATGAAAAAAACTCATTAGAAAAATAACAGTATCTTATCAATTTGTTTTGTATGGCTCAAGAGACAGACACAGCTTATGTAAAAGGTTAAAACACAGACAAACAGTTTCAACTCATGGGCCCCAAGGTAGGGCTGCTCAATTAATCGTATTTTAATCGCGATTACGATTATGGCTTGCAACGATTACGAAAACAACGTAATCGAAATAAAACGATTTTTTTTTAAATTATTATTACATTTTCTTTTTTTGGTTGAATTATACTTAAAGTTCAACTGTTAAAAACATTCTGTTCACATTTTTTTCTCCAATAAATGGATGTTTTCAAAGTCAATGAATAATCACATTTAATAATCGCAATTACAATTATTGACCCAAATAATCGAGATTATGATTTTTGCCATAATCGAGCAGCCTTCCCCCAAGGCTGTTAACCTTACACTCCTAAGCTAAGTTGTTATTTTGTTTCTTCTTTACTTGCTTGTAAAGCGCTTTGAGCACCAGGGAAAAGGGCTATATAAATGTAATGGATTATTATTATTATTATTATTATTATTAAGTGCAATATTCTGTATGACTGTTTACATTTGTACACTTTTGTACAATGACAATAAAGGCTTTCTATTCTATTTGAGGTAAAACAGATAACTCCCTGTGCATCAGACAGAATCTGGGAGTTCAAGGTTGTTTGAGGATAACAGCCTGACATGTAAGAAAGATTTACTTCTGCTCACTTAGGAATACTTTTCTGAGAAAATGATACCAAGGCAGTTATTGTGTGTGTGCTCATATAGCTCAGTATTAAATGCATTCACATGTGATGAGAGAGCCCATGTCTGGGGGGGACGGTCTACTCAGGATGTGTGTGTGTGTGTGTGTGTGTGTGTGTGTGTGTGTGTGTGTGTGTGTGTGTGTGTGTGTGTGTGTGTGTGTGTGTGTGTGTGTGTGTGTGTTGTAAACACTGGCACTGCTCATAACCATAGAATCTCATAACACAGCCCAAGCTAATGCTAAGCTAGTGTCATCAGTGTGCGACTGTTATCTTACATGTCCGTTCCATTTCGAGTAATTCCAGTGTTTAAACATTCTTTAGCAATCTTCCTCCACACTTCGTCTCGGCTCACAAAGCGGTAAATACTTTTACAAACTTGAGAGAGGCGACTGAGGGATGTGCAGTCCAAATGGGACAAAATATGGTAGAGAACGTCCTCCGGAAGCTGGGACAGCAGCAGCATTCTGTGCGGGCAGCGCTGCATGTCGGTCTGGTCTCTGCATAACATGGATGTATAATAAATATAATAAGAACCTGCATACAGAAAGCGGCACCGGGACCGCTGACAGCAGCTGATGACGACAACCCTACGCGACCGGACGTGATGACGTAGGGCGCTGGGTTTTGGTAGTCTGCGGCAGCTGAATAGCGCTTTGAAGTCCGGACAGTGAGGACTGCCTGCCGGGGAGCCAGGCTGCGTCTCAGCACGGACCCATGGAGCTCAGTCCTCCTGGTCCTGGAAAAAAGTTTTGATCATTGAAACGATAAGATTCATTCGAAAGTTGTATTCCTGAACTTTGCAAATTACAATAAAGTATTCAGACTTCAGAATATTATTTTTGATTTAATTTAGAAATGATTTTGAATTATTTACTTTTGTATATTTCATTTTCAAATATATTTTGTTATTTGAGTGTTTTATTTCAGTGGTAGATTTGATGCTTTCAGATTCAGATTTCCAATTACACTTATTAGGTTATTACCGGACTGCACTCATGGTATCCTTCTTGCTCAGAAACAACATTCAGTCTTTTTGACTTCTCTGAATTCCAGTTTCATTCATCGATTACTCAACGAATGATAATCGTGTGAATCCTTTCAGCAGATTAGGACATTAGAGCTAATTAAAATGTATTCCCTGGCACACATACCATATGTATCAGCTTGTGATTTATTCAGACATTGTGCAGTAAAAGGAAAGTGACTCTAGCTCAGTAGGGCCCTGTTTAGTCACTAAAACTGCCAAGGTTGTGTTACGGTCAAATGACTACTAAAAGTTGATTGACCTTAGGACATTTTGTGAGGCGCTTAACCGTTTAGCATCAGTGGCATCAATTTGTGCTCATTCACATCATGAGGGTCCTCAAGCCTGCAGTGAGGAGTGGCATCCCTGTAGCTCTTTGATCAGCTGAGCACAACCGCACATCATTGAAATATGCAGATCGTTTTTCAAGATGTCCCGTTGTTGAATGCTGTGCTTTCTAAAAGGCCATGTCCCAGACACTGGGCCGTCGAAAAAAATCATTTATGGTTGGCTTTCCAGCTGAACTGTCATGAGTAAAAGGAAATGAAGAGGTTGGGAGGAGGGTTACGGGAGTGGAGGCAAGATTTGGGGGTTGCAGTGGGGGTGTTTTAAGGGGCTATGGAAGGGAGGGGGGTCTTCCCTTTTGATGTTTTTAGGGCAGCAAAAAGGGAGGGGGAGGCAGAGGCCTGAGCTGGCAAACACATTTAGCCAGTAATTGTTCAGATCAGACTGACAATCAGTCTTGGAAATGCATGGACAAACAAAAGTTTACAGCTCCAATTGGAAGAGTCAACAGGTCTCGCAGAAGGCCCGTACATAAACAATGAAACTGTCGAGCTGGAGCTTCACTTTGATCAGTTGTTTGCGTTTCAATTATCCAGCCTGGTCGGACTGGTGGCTTTTGTTAGCACTGCTGAATGGGGGCTTGGATTTAATGGGCCTGCCTGTCATTTCTGATAGAGAATCCATCCACCTTACTGCGTCTGCACTCAGTATGTGAACATCCTAAGACTAGCTCAAACAGTACCGTATAAAGTCTCTTATTACATAGTCATTGTAGTCAAGTAGTTCTACTCAATAAAAGCATATGGTGTGTGATGACAGAAACATAGAATAACCATATAAGACTAAATGGCTCTTATTTCTAACATCTGTGCATCATTTCCTACAACTGTCTCAACACTTTACCAAACAGTAAAGCTGTGTATGTAACATGAATATTTAGTGAGTATAGGCTGCAATGCATTAGAGTAGCCAGCAATGTTTCTCTGATGCATGATGGTTTAATTGTTGTGCCGTTTTCGTTTCCCAGACTGCCAGGAATACATTTTTGCAGATAAAACAATATGGTCACTTAGATTGGATTGACAAAGTTTAGAAACTGAAATTCAGGATGGAAAGACCATCCAACTAGCTGTCATATATTTTAACGGGAACATTTTTAATTTCTTTCCTTTGACACCAGCTCATTATCTTTCAATGACACGTTTTTCTGAAGCAGTAGATCGACTCGAACTTATTTGTTTACTCCATAAAACCTAGTAATCTATCATATTATTTGTTATTACTGATTTGTCAACAGTGAATTCAAATGTACTAAAACAACAGCTTTGGAGGTATCTTCATGCCTGACGATCAAGTGATATTCCTGAATGAGGTTCTTGAAGAAGTTCAGATTATTATTTTTGCATGACCCTGCAGTGTGCTTCCTGGGAATAGACTCTTCTCCCTGAATGTTTCCGAGCGTATGTGGCTGGAGGTTGTAAGTGCTTTTTGATGGGGCCAGCTTCTGTATTGGCTTGTTTCGGGCTGCTTAGGGAGGCAGGGTCGTGTTCTCTGTTCACCCCTGCTATTCTACAGCCTCCACAGGGAGGCTCGCCAAGCAAATGAAGAAGGTAGCTCTGTTTGTTTATCCGGGGTTAAGAATGATGGTTGTGGCTCAATAAAATGGATGGAAGCAATGTTACCCCCGTTCTTCAGCGCTGGAATTGCTCCACATTTGCATGGCAACATTGGACACAGAAGGTGTGATTTTTCCCACAAGTCAGTTCACTGAGGTTCACTCTAACTTTACAGACACCGGAGGAGGTGTGGGGGGGGCTAATTGAATCCATTTACACAAAGTCCACTTGCCTTACAGAGACTCCGCAACAACACCATAAACTCACGGAGTCATGTGCCACCACCATACTGCTGCATGTCATCAGTACTGTTCTATTACATAAGTGAGTTATCACAAGGAGATGGCTTTCACTGATTGAGTGGATGCTAGAGTCCTAAGGGACAGATCCCTCTGTTAATCCAATGTGAAAGGAGTTAAGGAGATTAATGTAAACTTTTGTCAAGACCTTTCATTCTTGGCTGTGGGTTGCCCTGCTTCTCAGGTCAATAATTACTAGAGAAGGATTTGTCAGCAAGTGCAGGGTCACACAAGATTTTTATTATAAAAAGACAATTCATTATTATTAAGATACTCTATTGGATTCACTTGACGACTAATGAGCTACAATGGCGACCATGCAGTATAGTGTGTTTTACTCTTTTAAGATAGCGAACTAAATATCTTTGGGGTTTATACCAAGCTTGAAATCTGAAGTTTGTTTTTTATGTTATAAAGACCCAATACTTAATAAATGAACTGCAAAAATAATCAACAGATTTATTGAAAATATAAATAATCTTTAGCGGAAATGTTGTCCCTGACCAATCTTTTCTGACCTATGTTATGTTTAGATGAGCTGGATAGTCACAAACAAACTATTATATCTTATCAAAGTCCTGAATCTACTCAGAAGCCTATTCATTATATCATGGTTGTCACTGTGCTTAAGACAAAACCAATTCCAACTGTCAAACACTCACGCACACGCACGCACGCACGCACGCACGCACGCACGCACGCACGCACACACACACACACACACACACACACACAAACACACACACACACACACACACAGTCAAGTGTGATTGTCCAATCAGAATGAAGCTGTGAAAGGAAGAAGATGAAACAGTTGGGATACTGAGAGTTACGGGCCTGATGGAAGCAAAAGCCTAAAAACAAACACAGTGGTATCAATCCCACAACAGCAAAGCACTCTGACACTGACATGCTGTTAGCTGCTAAACTGGGATAATAGGGGGGGGGGGGGTTGACCTTGTTATCCCTGTTGGGATCAGACTAAGAATACCCTCCATGTTAGCTTTCCCTGGTCAGGTTTCATATGGGAGAAAGCAAAGGGCACAGCGTTTCCCTTCTGCTCTACTTAAGAGCTACTAGTGTAACAAAGTTAACACCTTCAGACTCACAAAAGAGTTCTAATGGTTAAAGTGAATAGGCAGATATGTTAGTTAAAGGGTGGTAGAATCCTCCAATGAAAATCTGTTTGCTAAGAAGTGGTTGTGAAGGGAAGTTTCAAAGCTGCACACCACGCATAAATCAGGCTCCATCTCTTTTCCTAACCACTTCCCTTAACCTGGGTGAACAACGGTATGGGTAAAGGAAACATGTGAAGGAGAATTCTAGAGGACCTAGGAAAAGACGACCGGGGTACTCACCGTGGTACGTGGTACTGCACTTACACTACATCATTGTTATGCATCAGCTGAATTTACTGAGAAGGTCCGAAATATAATGAGTCAATAACTGAATTGCCACGGTACACTCGAAATAGATGCGTTTTCAGTTTGTGACGGAACATAATAGAGTTTCTGCTGTCCTGATGTCAATAGGGAGCTCATTCCACCATTTCGGAGCCAGGATAGCAGACAGTGTGTTTTTGAGGGGTACATGGGTCCCACTTGCAGAGATGGAGTAGCAAGCCAATTGGCTGACGGTGAGCGTAGTGCACATGCTGTAATATATAGTTTAATGATATCCAGGGCTTTGATAGGAGCGACTTTGATAATGGATGTTTGATAATATATTGGTCAGGTCCCCAGGGCCCTGAGGTTGTGTGATGATGCCCCCCGACACCACCTAGCGTTAGCTGGAAACACTAGCAGTAAATGACTTGATCAAATGAAAAGGTGTTGTCACAGCTCCTCCATCAATCTCTTGCTTCTCATTGTTGAGCATTGGATACATAGGGTAAACAGGAAAACACTATGCTGTGAAACTCAGAGGACCTTGGTTTGAATGTAACAAAGATAGGGATGGCTGTGGACAGAGATAGATGTGGACCTTTCAGTCCAAGAGTTTATTAAAAAATGTAAAACAGGGCACTATACAGCAGGTATAAAACCACCTTAGATGGAACACCTATTTAAGCATTTACACTGATGATGTAAAAGAGTAGGTAGGCATTATGTACCCCAGTGCAAATCTGTCAGAGCAGAAGGACCTAATGGGATCTGATTTGACAGCAGCATTAGTAGCTTTACTGAGGGCACTGTGGAGGAAAGGAGGTTAGAGCAGGTAGTCATATGCACTAACTCTTTTCTGCTGTAATGGTATGGGCAACCCAGTCTCACAAAAAAACATGTAATAACTACGTTGGTCCACAACGTAGGACGTAGTATTTCTACAAAAACGCCTCTGAAATTGTAAGATCCCTACGTTTTTTTTCACCATTCAT